CCCATTTTAGACAGTTTTTTTCTCTTGCATTATTCTTTCACCACAACACACAAACCAGTAATACTTCCTTGTTTGGATATTAACACCATCAATGAAAGTAGGAGAGCCCTAGACATGATCTGGCTCTGCAAAAGCACAGAACTGAAAACTGCAGATTGCAACTGGAGCAGCTGCACTCAGTGACAGGGTAGGAGGCATACAAAAGAATCAAAACTCAGAGTTTATGCCTAGACATAAATCTTTACGTGGTTTTGCAAGTGTAATTTCAGGTTTAGTGCTTGGGCTGACTGTGTACAAGTTAAAAATCAAGTATGTTATTTTTCTCAAGAAAGTCAGTGTTTTTAAGTGAATGAAGCAACACAAAGAAAAAACATATACCTTCAGCAATAACTTCTACATAAGGAAAAGAAAAATTAAGCAGTGATCAGGCACAGGGTGACTAGGAAACTCAGATTCACATCTCTAAATCGTGGTGTTTTTTTTTTTTTGGATGTGCTAACAGCAATCTTTGTAAGTAAAATATCTGAAGCAAGATAACTGACTTCATCAAACCTCAGTTAAGTCACTTACCTCACACTACAGGGGGGGAAAGAAAGAGTCATGTGAAGTGGAAGCTACAGCACTGATAAAACCCTAGACTTGCACATTATTCCACAGAAGATGTTCTAGTGCTTCTAGTACCTGAGCTACCCCAAGCATCTCTGTGTAACAAAGCCCTATGCACCACATAACAGCTTAGTATCTGTTCTGGGAGCAGTAAGGATGCGTAACAGTCACAAACATCGTGTGCTTCTCAAAGCGTAGACCTTGAGTTTTCACTGAAGAGTTCTATATATAGTATCTTGAATTTACAGCTGCTGAAACCAAAGGAGGTTGGCAAGCCTAGCTAAAGCTGCACAGATGCCAGTAACAGAATCCGCCAGATTTAACAAAAGTCTTAAGACTTTATTAAATTTCTAAATTGCCAAGTCCTACTTTATAGCTTTCTTTATGGCAGCAGAAAGATGAACTACTAATGATATTAAGTGGTAGAAAGGTACCCGTCCTTAAAAGTCTGCAAAAAAGAACAAAGGGTAGCGTAAAAGGACAAAGCTGTATTATCTCATTGACAGGCTTGCACCAATACTGAAGAACAGGTTACAGGAGATCTCCTTCAATGCAGAGAATGGGGTTTCATTACTTTCACCGGCAAAAAGTTATATTTGAAAGTACGACTAGATATATGAGGCCTAAACTCGGGGGGGCAGGGGGAAATTGCACTCCTCTATCTACGATAGACAGCCATGCGAGACTAGGCTGCAATTCACGTTGCTCAAGACTTTAACAAGTCCTGCTTGGTCAGCAGGTTATGGAAATTGCTCCGAGGGATTTCAATGCTGGTAGAGCTGGGTTGGGGTGGGGGAAGTACAGATGGAAAATACTCGACTTCAGTCCTAACGAGAGCTTGGTAATACTTGAGAAAAATTCCTAGCATACCCCTTAACTTAATCCTGTCCTTAGAGTAACTCTCCAGGTCAAATCTTTGGAAAAGGTGAACGCGCTCCGCAAAGAATCATAACAAACATTAGGAACAGAATATAATTTAGAAACCCTTGCTATGCAAGTACAGCAAGATCAACCGGGGCTCCTTATTCTTGAGCTTAGTCTCAAAATACAGGGCAGAACAATGCAGAACGCATTATATAAGTGAAAATAAGAGAAGAAGAAGAATAAAACCAGCAAATGACATGTTATACTAGCCTTTACTTTCCCTGTTCATCACCTGACAAGGGGGGAAAGGTTCATTTCTTTCCTCTACAACTAAATAAAATACACTATAATTATCAATTTCTAATTAAGTTGTGTTTGTGCCCACAGAATATGTTTCCAGTCGACAACACACACCCCTGACTAACTTTACATTACCAAACAAAAATTATTTCTTGGTCAGTTTACATTCACAAATACAGTGCAACAAGTATTCAAGTATAGAAATACAATCTTTGGTGACTGCATAAAAGGGTTTAATGAACTATAGCTGTTACACTAACAAGAGTTACATGCAATTCCCAGAGCAAGGACACAGATCTGCTACAGTTAAGCGAGGTTTGCTCTTATTCATTTTCACGAAACTTTACCTCAAAGCTTCATAAACAAGTATTTGCTCCTTCTGGAATATTTACACTATACTTTTCACAGAGACTTTGGAAAATCTTACTAGTGCACACAGCACAGCTGTCACAAGCCAGAACGTTAGGTAAGAAGTTTCAGAAGAAAAAATTAAGCAGCTCTGATTTGGAGGCAAGGACAACGGAAAAGAGACTTAGTGACACACAATTCTCTTTTAAATCTTTCTCTGACCACCACCGATGCTAAGAAAAGGTACTTTTTCAAATAATTTCAGTAATTACACATTGAATGAATGCCAGGGAGCGATCAGATCCCAGACGTGAACGCCCACTGACAGCAACGGTCTCGTTCCAGGTCCAGGCTCGCTACCTGCTGGCGCTAGCTGCATCCCGAAGAAATCGCACTAGCGTTGGTGCGGCCCCCGTGAAACCTCAGCATTTGTCCGGGGCTGGAGTTTGAAAAGGCAGGAGCAGCTTGCGCAGGGTAAAGCGCTTGAGCAGGAAGGACCGTTTCGGGTCCAGAGCCGTCACGAACCCGCTGCGCGCCTGAAACGCGGAGTCACTCCCGCACTTCCCCGCTGCGCGTACTTCTGGGGGCTCGAGCTAACGTTTCGGGGATAAGCCGCATCACGTTATTTGCTTTAAGGCCCAGGGAAATCACACCGCACTTCTCCCCC